TTTCCCTATTAAATGTCAAAATTTTTACATTTTAACATTTTGATTGGAAAATATTCTAGAGTATTTATACTCTTACTCAACAGAGAGCAAGGAACTGAACACAATTTAATCTTTTGTCGATAACTTCCAGGGCAGTACTTGTGAAAATTAATCACTGTACAGTCTTATAAAACTGATGCTCCTGAGTCTACTTTAGGCAGTAGGCCTCTGCCCTGAATAACACAGACTGGCTTCCCTGCTTCTGGCTGTGCTGCCTCCTCCCTCCCTTCAGCTCTCACCTTTGCTGTTCTGATATTGTGCTGCCTGTGATGTGCCACCTTATGGCATCCTTTTGTCTTCCCGAGAGCCTGAGACTGGCTCCAGATGCTTAGATAGTGTGAGGATGATGGGCTTTGTGACAGTTGTTTGCTACTCAGAGGTTCTGTCACTTATTTCCAGGTTCTAGGCTGGGCTTCTAATTACTGACTTTATTGGGAACTATTTACTTGGGGGGAACTAGCAAATTGCCCAGATCCTAAAACCTGCCTCCTGATTTCCCTCATTCATCATCAACCCGTGCTTCAAAATTCCTCCTACAGAATTCTAAAACGACAGTAGCTTATACTTAGATGGTGTTTATTTTCTTGTAGGCACTGATCTAAGCCCTTTATATATATATATAAATATATGTGTGTGTGTATATACATACACATATATAGTATATATATATATATATATTCAATCATTGCATCTTTACAATTCTCAGGTTATTTCCAATTTCAACATAAAGAAAGGGAAGCACAAAGAGGGTAAGTGATATGTCCGCATGTGCATAGCTGGTAAGTGGCAAAGCTGGGACTCTAAAACAGTCAGATGACTGCAAGTCCTGTATTTCTCCATTCCACACTTTCCATGATTCTATCTATGTGGATATTGGTGGAAACTGGAATGTATAGAGGAAAGTGGCTGGTCGTTAAGTTTCACTGCTGCAACCTCAGGTATAGCCATATTTCTGAAAAACTTGGTCCTTGCCATCACTCTCTGCTTTTAAATTTCTCCTTTTCCTCCAATTCAAATTGTAGTTCACATCAGCTACCAATAATGATTGAGCATTTTGTGTGGCAGGCATGGTCTGGGCATCTTACAGATATTTCTGATTCCTATGATATTGTCGTCTCCTCATAAGGACTGAAGGCTCAGAGATGTTAAGTGGCTTGTTCAAATCACACAGTGATCGGCAGACCCTCCACTTACATTCTTCAAACACCTCAAGGACAAAAGCCTCCATCGTTCTCCATTTGCCTATAGGATAGAAGCCAAATTCCTCACTGGCAGGCAAGGGGCCATGCTATCTTTCCAACCTTATCTCCCACTGGGCTCCAGCTTAACTCCTCTGTTTCAGACTGGCATGTCTGTGCCCTCTCCCCCAACCCAAAGGCTCACTCCCGATGCCCAGCCTTCCATGCATTATTCCCACGACCTAGAATGTCTTGTTTCCTCCTTTGTGCCTACTCAAATCCTGTGTGACACAGAACACAGCTCAGCTTTCCCTCTCATACAAGGTCCTCTTGCATGAAATTACTCCAGGCTCTACTGGTCTCACTTCCCCATAGATTCTTGCCCACACCAGTCACTGGGGGCATTGAGCACACACACTTGTACACCAGATCACTAGTTCAGGCCAGCTGACTCATATCTCCAAACTTGACACTTGAGCTGAATATTTTGACTCATGTAGTTTCTCATTTCATACAGATGGTCAGAAGCACCAAAGAGAATTTTCCCTGTGACCTGTTGTGCCAAGGCCTGGGGTAAAAACTGCTTTCCATGGACAAAGTGAAAAGTAGATGTAATTTATCATTGCCACTTTCTAGTATAGCTCCCTTCCAAGTTATTCCAATATGTGTAGGGTTATACGTATATGTGACCTTACTACTCCTTTTCCCCCTACTCTTTTTTTCTATATAGTACAAAAATAATAATTAAAATAACAAAAACAGACACATATTACTGTACGCCAGATACTTTCTAAGCACTCCATAAGTATTAACTAATTTAGTTTTCTTAACTGCCCTTTGAGGTAGGTATTTATTATTACCCTTTTTTTACAGATAAGCAGACTGAGTCACAGGGAGGTTAAGAAACTTGCCTAAGGTTACATGGCTGGGATTCAAAGGTAGGCATTTTATTATGATGTTATATTGTCTCACAATAAAATAATGTATTGTTTTTTTTTTGATGGTAAAAGTAATACCTAAGTGTATGTGTGTGTGTTTTTTAAATCAAATATTAAATGAAGTATAAGCAGCACAGAGCTATGGTAACTGGAAAGCAAAAAAATGTAATAATTTATTGTGAAACGAGTTTTTGAGTTCCAAATTCTAATGCTAATAATGCTGGTGAGCTGGGGTTGACCACAGGGCTGAGCCTGGACTGGCTAGGCCCAAACCCAGATATCAGATCTGACCACACGGCCAAGGGGGAAGAGACAGAAGGCAGGGTGCCAGAATGTGGGCCTGCTCTGAAAAAACACAAAAACAAAAAACAAAAACAAAATATAAGGAGAATATCACCCATAGCCTATAGCCCAGGGAGATATAATATACACTTGTTCCTATTTTAGAAATGAAACAATACTGTATACCATGGGCTTTTTTTTGGTCTTTAATTAAAAAATTTAAACAGTTTTATTGAGGTATAATTTATATATCATAAAATTCTCATTTTAATCATAAAACTATTTTTAGTGAATTTAGTTTTGCAACTGTTACCATAATCCAATTTTAGATCATTGCATCTTACCCATTTACACTTACTCTCCATTTTCACCCACAGCCCCTGGCAACTGCTGATCTATTTTCTCTATATATTGATTTGCTTGTTCTGGGCCTTTTATACAAATGAGAACATACAACATGTGGTATTTTGAATCTGGCTTTTTCTACTTAGCATAATGTTTTCAAGGTTCATCCTTGCCATAGCACATATCACCATTTCACCCCTTTGATAACTGAATAATATTCCATTGTTTACCACATTTTAGACAACCGAATAATATTCTGTAGTATGTGTTTACCACATGCAACCGTTGATGGACATTTGCGTTGTTTCAAATAAATAATGCTGCTATGGATATTTATGTACACGTCTGTGTGTGGACATAATGTTTGCATTTCTCTGGGGGTAGATATCTAGGAGTGAAATTGTTGGGTCATATGGTAACTTTAAAATGTAAATATGAAAAAAGAAAAATAGTAGATAACAGCAATTGGCATGTGTGTTTTAATGGAAGATTTATGGATATTCCTGAACAAAATAGAGGTTATCATTTAACAGGTTCCAGAAAGAGATGAATGGTGGCACCCTGGCCTCTGTCAGGAGTGGAGCTTCGCTGTTTTGATGTGTAGGATATGAGGTATTGTGTAAAGTTAGAAGCTTCTTTAGGAACTAATTTTCAGACAGAGAACACTAATGGAGAAAATCCAAGGTGAGAAAGAGCTTGAGACAGGGACCTCAGAATAGGAATGTGAAAGGTAAGTTAGAAGATTTCAGAGCTGGGTGCTGAATATGATAATCTGTTGAAAGAGAGGATGAGAAAACCAAACGTGGTGTCAAGATCATTTAGAGACCTATTTCCCTAGGGTTAGGGCCCAGAATTTGGAACCTGAGCACTACTAACACTTGGGAAAAGCAAAGAGTGCATTAGGGGAGATATATAAGGGCAGCCCCTTGGCTGGACAATGGCCATTGCAAGGTTAGGGAAATGCGGTGAACGAAGAGGCAACAAATTGCAGCTCCACGGTAGGTAACTATATGAGGCCTTTGAGCCACTGCCTTAGGTCTTTAACTTTTGTTTTTCACAAGGACAACAATACCAAGCCACTGCAGAGGCCAGCTGATGTGAAGACAAAGAGACTGGCTGGAAGCTACTGCAGAGATTCCGACGTGAGAACGTCTGGCGATAAATGCGACTGTGTAGAAAGAAATGATCAGCAGGCCTTAGGGATGGATTTGCTGTGCAATTGCACAGAGGAGACAAACAT